GTGAAAATTGGTCAAGAAGTTAGGTCAAAAATCTGCCTAAACTTGTTGAAAATTTCACTAAGTGTTTTATGAAAAATGTCATGACTTCATGAGCCTATATCTTCAAATCTAAGAATTTTTTGGACATCAACCCTCTAATACAAAGTTTTAGAGTTCATCAACATCTACAATTTTCATATTGAAAGTTTTCCTTGAATCGTCTTGCATCTTAGTGAAACATTGTCATGAAGTATTGAAATTATCAAGGTTAAAAATACTTAGAAATTTTCTAAGTATTGAAAACTTTGACTTTTTGTGGACTTTCTTGACTTTCTTGATTTTTGATGATCAATTTTGATATTTTTGAGTATCTTGATGAATCTTGATCTTTGAAATTCAATGTTGATCAAAAAGTAAAAGTTTGACTTTGTGTGTATTAGTTGACTTTTCATCAGTTGATCAATCTTTAACTATTAATCCATTGATCTTGATAAATGATTTGAGCCATGAAGGTAGGTAAAGATATTGTGTTTGAGTTCTTTGGTGAAAATGTATTGAGAAAAGAGAGGGCAAATTTTGGGGTACAACAGTCATCTATTTCAACTATTTCATTCATTTTCTTTTCCTCTAACAAAAACCCTCAACAAAGTTCAGTCAATCTCAATGAATTTTTCGTCTCCAAATCAAGTTTCAAGTGTTTGAGTTTAGCAAAGTAAGAATTGAAAGCTGCAATTTGCCGTAAACTTTCATCCCTTCATCATACATTAGCTACATCAAAGTTGTTTTGTTGAAGAAGAAAACAACATCACTTTGCATATGCCCCTGCGATGGCCGCCTGCCAAAATTCGCAAGTGCACATGCGAATAAATATCTGTTACAGAATTAGAAATTGTGTTTTAACATACTTCTTGTTTTTTGAACATGTTAGGTATGGTGCACCCCGACAAAATTGTTAAAGCTATCGTAAATGTTAAGTACAAGGTCAATGAAGACAATAAGCCGAATGAGGTGAATGACATTGATAAAACAATCAATGTTGTGATAGATCATAGACAAAAATTTCCAAATGATAAAACTTTCACCACTCATCAACATATGCTTGAATGGGTTCAAATGGAAGCTAGCAAACTTGGGTTTGGCATTGTGATTGAAAGGTCCGACAATCGGACTAGCAATCGATAACCATTTGTTATGATGACATGCGAGAGAAGTGGAAAATATGTTCCAAAAATTCGTAAGATAAAACATGATGACACGGGATCGAGGAAATATGGGTGTCCATTTAAATTGCGCGCATATTGTAGGGTGGATGATTTATGGCGGTTTAATGTCATGTTCGGTATGCATAATCGTGCATTGGACACCAAGTTACACAAATATCTAATTGTATGTCGGCTTAAGCCGGTAGAGAAGGAATTTATTTCTGAATTGTCGTTGATCAAAGTTGCACCGAGAAACATACTTGCTGGTTTGAAATGGAATAGAGCGGAATGTGTTTCAAATATCAAGTCGGTTTACAATTATCGTTATAAAAAACAAATTGCAAAAAGAGGTCAGAGGTCTGAAATGCAATATTTATTGAAATGTTTGGACGATAACCACTATGTTTCTAGGCACAGAGTTTGTGAGGATAACGTAAGTATTCGTGATATTTTTTAGACGCATCTGGAAAGTACCAATTTGTTCAACACATTTCCAGCCGTTCTTATGATTGATTCGACGTACAAGACCAACAAGTATAGGCTTCCGCTTCTAGAAATTGTTGGTGTCACCTCTACAGACAAGACATTTTCAGTTGGATTTTGGTTTTTTTAAAAGTGAGAAAGAAGACAACTTCACTTGGGTGTTGGGTATTTGCAAGACTTTATTGAAAGATCCAAAAAATATGCTACGGTAATTGTTATCGACATAGATAACATCCTTATGAATGTGGTTGGAATTATGTTTCCTTCTTCCATCGTAATACTTTGTCGATATCATATAACAAAAAATGTGAGAGCAAAGCTAAAACCCGCGGTTGGCACCAAGGAGAAAAAGGGTGACAATGGAAACATGGTCAAATCTGGTGTTATGGTTGAGAAGATAATGGGTGCATGGACTGATATTCTTAATTCTGCTACAGAAGAGTTGTATACTGAGAATGTAGTAAACTTTAGGAACTTGTGTGTCAAATATCCCAATTTCTTGAAGTACGTTGAGTCCACCATCCTTGATCAGGTGAAAGAGAAAGTTTTATGTGCTTGGACGGACTGTGTTAGATATTTGGGGAACACAATAATTAATAGAGTAGAATTTGTACATGCGGTGTTGAAAAAGTGGTTGGGTGATAGTAAGGGAGACCTTTGTAGAAAATGGGACGTTGTGAACCAAATGCTCCAAAACCAACATAATGAGATTCAAACAACATTTGGTAGGAGCAAAACTGTATTGAAACACAGATTCAAAGACAACACTTTGTGTTCGCAGTTGGTTCACAACATATCCTGAGCGAGATTGAATTTCATTTTTTATGAAGAGAAACAAGCAGAAACAACAAGGCCAGATAGTTTGAAATGTGGATGTACAATAAGGATGACTTACGGGCTACCATATGCTTGTATTATTTATAATAAAAAAAAGCTCAATTCCCCCATACATATGGATAAGGTTTGCACTCATTGGAAAAAGCTTCGATTCGATGACTATGAGCCGACAAAGGAAGGTAAATCCAACATAAACATCACAACCGAGTTAGAAGTCATTATGGATAGATTTTATAAAGTGGATGATGCTACAAAGTTGCACATTAAATGACAATTGAGAAAAGTCGTATTTCCATAAACAACTGATTCAAAACCCCCGTCGTAATTGGTGAAAACTAAAGGTGCGCCTAAAAAGATGAAAACTTCACAAGCTGACAGCACAACAAAGTGTACTCCTTCTTACCACGAAGTTGTTGATGAAATATTCTCGGATTCTCCAACTCCAAAATTTAAAACAAGTGTTAAAATAGAAGCTCAGATTTGCAAACCACCTCTTACACCGCCTATTATAAAACAACCATAACAACCACCACCACCACCAACACCACCGATAATCTACATTGATGAGATGCCACTTTTTATGTACAAACACATTGAAAAAATCTTGGATGTGGGAAGTGATGGTAATTGCGGGTATCGGACCGTATTCGAGTTGCTTGGTCAAGGAGAGAAGAAACGCACTCTCGTGTGTACAACACTTATTTCTGAGTTAACGGTGCATAGGGAGCTTTACACTCGCCTATATGTGACAACGAAAGCATTTAATAAAGTTCATTATACTCTTGCTCCTAATGTTACCGCTCACGCACCGGTTGAAAAGTGGATGAGCTTCTCCGAAATAGGCCATCTTATAGAAAGTGCATATGAGATGGTGCGTATCGACTTATGAGGTACGGTTTTTCGGAAACATTTTTTCCTCTTCGGACTACCCCTCCTAAAGATCCACCCGGATGCATCATGTGTATTGGGTACATTAGGTCACATCATTTTGTTCAGGTTTATTTGAAACCAGATTGTCCTATTCCGGCCACATCTGTGGAATGGACGACACATCATGCAAAAGAGGTGAAAACTTGGCCAGATTATTTTTTGGATAGAATGATTGAGTTCACCAATTTGATGGAGCTTGAGAGAGAATCAAATAGGGAGAAGTCGAAGAAAATTTTGGTTTTAGATTTAAGCGGTGACAATTCTTTCGGTGCATTTTAGAATGTAATCGAATCATTTTTTGAATATATTGTCGAACATATTGTAAAATTTATATGTTTCAATACATATATAACATATTATCTATATTTAGTTTTACAATTATTTGTTTTTTTCATGTCTCTTTGGTGCAAACAATGGTTCTGTTTCTGTTTCTGCATAATTCGGAAGTGCACATGCGAATTAACCTTAAATATTATTCAAAAAACAACACATGGCTTAATTCGTATATGCATGTGCGAATTCACCTCCTATTTTTACAAAAAAAATGTGGTGGCTTCGGAAGTGCACATGTGAATTCTCCTTATTTGTGTAAAAATATGGGTAATTCGCATGTGCGCTTACGAATTAAGTCCTGATAAGATTTCTTTGGTCCATATTACTCCAACTTGCCTATATATTGAATCTCTAAACCATTCCATTCTCCATCACAAACCAAAATCAGAAATGACACCAACATATATACACCTTGCTTTTGTCTACTTCAGTGGTGCGCAATCGCCACTTCAATTCAGGTTCTCGCAGGACACGCTGTTCGTCGAGCTCATTTTGATACTATATTCTCTCTTACAGTATCCAGAGAATCGAAAGGTGGTCAAGCTTGAGTATCGTTCACCTTCATTTGACACTGAAAGAAACGTAAAATTCACCTCGTTTGAGCTCAAAAACGATGACGATTTAAAGGTTATATGGGATACCTTTTAACAATACTCTTTCAAGGGTCTGATTGAGATGGATGCGAGGCTTCAAAGATTAATAGCAGATGTCATCAAGATGTTGCAACGTCCTCAACTTCCAGTTTATAATAATATAATTTTAATTTTCTGCATAAATAATTATGTAATTTCTTTGAATTATATTGAATGAATGTTATAAATTATGTTGAATACTGTTGATTGATCTGCCCAGACATAAATTCGTATATACACATTTAAAAATAACTAACAGTAACAGGTGACTTCGTATGTGCACATGCGAAATAAATCTACGAAAACAAGTTGATGGTGCGTCCGCGTATGCATTTGCAAATTTTAAAAATATTTTAGATTTTTCGCAATAGGCCTATGAGAATGGTACTAGGTGTGGAAAGAAATTTCCATGATCTAAAGAGTTATTTGCAAGTAAGTGAGTGAAAGTGTGCAAAGTCTTTTTTCCGCAATGAACAGCTTTGTTGTACAAAAGAGTCACTCACTCTCGCTATTATCAAATTCACCACTTTCTATAACTCCTTCCTTGTCTCATCACCACCTTCGTCTTTCCAGTCTTCCCAATCGAAAACCAATCAACTTCAACATGGCTCTGTCTGCAAAAACCCCAGGTGATTCGCAAAAGAGGGTGGTAATACCCAATAAGCACGGTGAAAAACTAGTTGGCATATTGCATGATTCTGGAGCCAAAGAGATTGTTATCTTATGCCACGGTTTTCGATCCTCTAAAGTTTCTTTCTTTCTTATATTCATTCACCTTCAATTCAATCCCTTTGTGTTTGTTTTCAATTTCGTTGCTTAGGTTTTTTTATGTTCAGGAATCCAATACCATTGTGAACCTTGCTGCTGCTTTGGAAAAAGCTGGAATCAGTTCTTTCCGTTTTGACTTTTCTGGAAATGGGTAACTTTACTTCAACCATCAATTATTTAGGATACTTTTACTTTCTCAAAAGGTTTTATTAAACGCTCGTTGCTTAGGTTTTTTAAGCTTTAATTTATTTTAGAAACGAAAACATGAAATAGCGAAAGTGTTCTTCAAATTTGCAGTGTTATTTATTTGTAGTTATACTAAAATTTCTGTTATCTTGTCTTGATCATGTGTATTGCTTCGTGCTATTCTACCTTAATTGAGCTGTTGGCTTTTTTTATTCATAGGGAAAGTGATGGTTTGTTTCAGTATGGTTACTACCGGAGAGAGGCTGATGATTTACATTCTGTGACTCAACATTTCCGTGGATTAAACCGTCTGGTGACTGCAATTGTTGGGCATAGTAAAGGTATATTAGCTTGTTATCCGTCTGGTCACTGCAATATTTGAAGATTTCATTTTTCGGTTTTGGTGGTGATTTTGTAATCATTCATGAAATATGATCATTTATATACGAAGCATTGAATAATGATCAGTGTTGTTAAATAGCGGCAATCGTGCCATTGCATAGAGGAATTAGAACAAAACGATATTGTTCTGCAATATGCTATTTAGTACAACAAGTATTGCAATGCTATAGCACCAATTTGTAGAAAACTATGAAAAAACACTATTTTCTGCCATCCGCAATCGAGACAACACTATGATGCAGTATGAAGAGAGTCATGTTTCATCTAATTTATGCTTAAATATTGCATGAATCTTGTAGCATGGGCTTAGTCAGTATAATTGAAATAGTAGCAAAGTTTAGCTTATGTTTTTGAGCTACTTAGCACACACCTGCCACAAAGGAACTTATGAGTATTTTCATTTTCGTAGTGTCAAGAACTAGTTTACACAAACATATAGGCATTTTAGAATTGTATGTTATATTTGTTAACTAGGTATTTTATGTCGGAATATGTATGATTGGTTAAATCCCTATGCTCCTACTCTATGTGGGTGAGTGGCTTGGTGGCCATTTTCTTTTCATTTGTAATTGGTGAAACATGACTTATTAGCGCAGCTTTTGCCTCTCACTTTATGTTTTTCAATTCTGAATGCATAATTATTGAATCATTATAAAGTTTATCTATATCATGATGTAGGAGCTGGAGTGGTGCTTCTCTATGCTTCAAAATATAATGACGTCAAAGCAGTTGTCAATATCTCTGGACGCTATGATCTGAAGGCAGGAATTGAAGAACGCCTCGGAAAAGATTATATGGAGAGAATTAAGGAAGATGGTTTCATTGACGTGAAGGGGCCAGGTAACCTATCTTTTAATCAGACATAAGTTTCAATTCGTCTTGGCGAGGGAGCTTGATGTAGTAAGTAGTTAACAAATTCAGTCTCTCTTGATCACTTGTTTCCATACTTTGAACTTATTGTTGAAGTCTAATTGCTTCATGTTCATGGCAATAGTGGCCTGATACTCTTAAGTATGAAATTGGGGATTATTCTATCCTATAACTAAAAGGGTGTGGTGCAAAACTCTAATTTTGTCAAATTTCATTCTCTTAAATGTCCGAGATCAAAAGAAACCTAAAAAGAAGGGGACAATGGAAAGACAAAAATGGGGGAAATGAAAAATATAAGTAGTAGCTACCATAGATGACATGGTACATGAATCATGACAGAGCATTCTCCGTTTCTACAAGCACACTTATTTTATTATTATATGATCATTATCTGTTGCAGGAAGTTCCGGTTACCGCGTGACTCTGGAAAGTTTGCTGGATCGCTTAGATACAAATATGCATGAAGCATGCCTTCATATTGATACAGAATGCAGGTGAGACAAAAATATTGTCTAGTCTCTTTTGCTTCTTTTCCCATCTTTTTTTTTCCGAGAAAGTTTATAGACAAAATTTGTGGAAATCTTCTAAAGAACTATTATAAAGTGGATGATATCATTGTGGTATGATCTCAAATCATTTGTAACATATATGACAGGGTCCTTACAGTTCATGGTTCTTCAGACACAGTTATATCTGTTGAAGATGCATATCAGTTCGCTCAGATTCTACCAAACCACACATTACATATCGTAGTAGGAGCTGATCATTCCTACACTAATCACCAAAATGAGCTAGCTTCGTATGTTGTCGACTTCATAAAATAAAAGAAACCTTGCACTGGGATAGGAATACTTAGGTAAGTAAGTGTCCCTACTGGCAGCAGTTTTTAGACTTATTTTTGTTTGACATCGGTTTTCTGAATGATATTGTGATAGGTCTTGCACTTCCGAGTCATTTGAAGTTGCTACCGGATACAGATATTTATCGGGGATATGTCGATGTTCTACATCATTTTTTAATGTTATAATTTTTGCTCATAAAATTAGTGAATTTTGCTTTGTACGAACTTGTTGTGATATCACGTCCATTGCTAAACAAAGCATGTGCTCCTATTGTACACTTATTACTAAAACAGTGGGTAGTTTACTAACATTGTCACTAAGTACAAGAATCTAGCAAAGCTTTATACAAAATAACTTTCAAATTCAAGCAGTGCTTAATGCAAGATTTTAGGACATAACTTTCAACTTCAAGCCGTGCTTAACAAATACCATTGCCTCAACTTCTTGCTCAGGAAACTTGTCGCTAAGCTTTGCTCTGGTCCTGCCATTATTGACTTCATGATTCTTAAAAGTTTCTATGGTGCATCCCCGAAGATCATGGAAATTGTATGGCATCCTCTTCCATTGAACTGGCTCAAATGCGACACAAATGGTGATGTACGTGGTTGTCATGGGCTGGCTTCTTGTGCTAGAATTTTAGAAACAAATATGGTGATTTTATAGGCTGATTTGTTGCTCTTGGCATACAAAATTCTTTGTTGAATTCATGGGCATAATTAGAGTTGGACAAGGGCCTGAGTTGGGCAGTTATGGGCCAAAAAGCTTTACGTAGCCCAACCCGCAATTGTATCATATAGGCCCAATTCTGTCCATTTTCTTAATCAGTTTGGACGGGTTGAGTTAGTAAGGATCATGGGTTAATACGTTTGGACGGGTTGAGTTAGTAAGGATCATGGGTTAATACAAATTAACACAAAGGACCAGTGTGTGCAGCTATATATATATATACTCACACCATTATCTTTAATAATCCCATGTTTATCTTATTTAATTACACTAACTCTTTTATGCTCCGTGAAAATTCTAAGACCAATGACAGAAAATCAATATCATAATCATGATTTCTTTTCCTTCTTTTTTTTACATTCATCAAGCGCACTACATCACACAATAGGCAATGAACATACATCAAAATCAAACTGAACAAAGTACTAGAAAATAATAGTTTCTGTTAGTATAAAAGAAGAATAAAACCAATCCTGGGACACAAGTTCTGATATAAACTTTTAAAGCATTCAGGATCCAGTGAAAAGCTCAATTTTGCATAGATTCTTAAGCATGAAAGATAATTTTGTTAATTCAAAACCAGATGCTTAAGAATCCAATGAAAAGCTGATGGCAAGCTCTTCAAAAAATAGGAAACAATAAACTATCACTACCATATGACTATCACGAAGATTTGATTTAATCATATATTTTTAAACTAATTGAAAATTTTAAGTGAATCATTAACAACAAAAAATTAAAATAAATGTTTTCAAGAAAATTTTATTTATTAATTAATTAAACTATTTTGTTAAAAAAATATTTAGATAACTACGAGTGTGAACTAAAATAGGTTTTGTAATTTTTATTTGATTTAATTATAGATTTTTAAACTAATTGAAAATTTTAAGTGAATTATTAACAATAAAATAAATGCTTTGAATTATATTATTACTAATTAATTAAACTATTTTGTTAAAAAAGATTTAGATAACTGCTAGTCTGAACTAAAATAACTTTTTTTTATAAAACCCCTTATATTTAATATAAATATAAACAAATATATCATTACTTAACTCAATTAAAACTGAAATGATTTGAAACATCATTTTTTTTTTCCATCAAAATTCTATTTGGCGTTAACTCGTAGAAAGGTTAAAACAAATGTGAAATTATACATTTGTCCTTGATTTTCTGTTATTCTGTTAAGATGAGTTAGCTGCATTATTGTGTATATATAGAACTGATTGTATACTTTTTCTTCCCAAGCTGAATAATACAGTATAGCTTCATCTCTTCTTGTTTCTCTTTCTTTTTCTTTCTCCTCTAATGGAGATTTATAGTTTCTAACATGGTATCACCGCCATTCCGATCCAACCTTCTTTTTCCTTACGTGATTCTTACAATCGTTCTTGCGTGATCATCACTTTATCACTCTTTTTCTTTCCTTCTTTCTTGTCAATGGCACCACCACGCAACAACACTCCCATTGATCCTCAACTCGATCCTACAAGTCCGTATTTCGTTCACCCCAGTGATGGCCCAGCAACTGTCAAGGTTGTGCCACCTCTCACCGGCGGTAACTATCATTCTTGGGCACGCTCGATGCGTCGTGCTCTTGGCGCCAAGATGAAACTTGAATTCATCGATGGTTCAATTCCCATTCCTGAAGATTCATTCGATCCTTCAACCCGCGCATGGAACCGCTGCAACATGTTGATAATTTCATGGATTATCAACTCAGTTTCCGAATCGATAGCTCAGTCAATCGTTTACATGGAGAATGCGCTGGATGTTTGGAACGATTTGAAAGAACGCTTTTCACAAGGTGATTTGGTTCGTATTTCTGAACTCTATCAAGAAATTTACTCTTTAAAGCAAGAAAATAAATCTGTAACAGAATTTTATTCTGAGCTGAAAATTCTCTGGGAAGAATTGGAAATATACATGCCTTTACCACAGTGCACATGTCGTGTTCGATGCTCTTGTGCTGCCATGAGAGATGCTCGAAATCATCACAATTTGTTGTATATTATAAGATTTCTTACCGGCTTAAATGAGAATTTTGCAGTTGTTAAGTCACAAATTTTACTCATGGATCCTCTCCCTTCCATGAACAAGATCTTCTCTATGGTGCTTCAACATGAACGCCAAGGCAATTTTGCTATTTCAGAAGATTCTCAAGCCTTGATCAATGCTGTAGGATACAAGAAGTTCAGTGCTAAAGGTGGTACTTCAAATACAGCATCTAATGCTTCAAAGTCCAAGATTTGCACACATTGTGGCAGGACTGGCCACACAGTTGAAGTTTGCTATAGGAAACATGGGTTTCCACCTCATTTTGGCAAAGGTTCAACTGCAAATAATGCTAGTACAACTGAAGAACCAGATGACAATGGTGATCGTGCTTCAGCTTCACGTAATCAAGATGGACAGCTCCCCATAACTCAAGAACAATATGCCACACTTGTGAACCTTCTTCAACAATCTAACATTCAACAAGGTTCATCTACTGCTACCTCCAATCAAGTTTACTCATCTACAGTTACAGGTAACACATCTGTCAATATTCCAAGTAATCAACAAATTTCTGTTTATAAGTGTGCTGCAGTTCATTCTTGGATAATAGACTCAGGTGCCAGTGATCATATCTGCTCTAATCGAGCTTGGTTCCATAGTGTCAATTCTATAAAACCTATACATGTTAAGTTACCAAATGGTCAATTTGCCTTGGCCAAATTCATTGGTGTTGTTAAATTCTCTGATTGTTTTCATATTCCTGATGTTCTATATATCCCTGAATTTTCAGTCAATCTTATTTCTGTGCCCAAACTTTGTCAAACTAATCAATACAATGTCATTTTTCGTGCTTCTGATTGTTTTATCCAGGAAATTTCCTCCCTGAAGATGATTGGTTCAGCTGAAAAGATTGATGGATTGTATCATCTAATTCTATCATCCAAACTTGCTGTCTCTTCTAGTCTAAACAATGTATCTGTCACCATTCCTTGCAGTGCCTTATGGCATTTTAGACTTGGACACTTGTCCTCGACTAGATTAGAAAAACTGCATGCTTCCTTTCCTTTTATTGATGTAGACAAAAATAGCATTTGTGATGTTTGTCACTATGCTAAACACAAGAAATTACCTTTTAATAACAGTTTCAATCATGCTTCTCATTTATTTGATTTAGTGCATTTTGATGTTTGGGGTCCCTTGTCCACTAAGTCACACAATGGTCATTCATACTTTTTGACTGCTGTAGATGATTTTAGCAGGTTTACCTGGGTCATTTTGATGAAATCTAAGGCAGAGACCAGGCAGCATGTCATAAACTTTGTTAAGATGATTGAAACTCAATATCATTTAAATGTCAAATGCATTAGAAGTGACAATGGACCAGAATTTGCTATGTCCACATTCTATAATTCTAAGGGCATTATCCACCAAACAAGTTGTGTTGAAACTCCTCAACAAAATGGGAGGGTTGAAAGAAAACACCAAGACATTCTTAACATAGCTCGTGCCCTTCTATTCCAAGCTAATTTGCCCAAGAAATTTTGGTCATTTGCTGTTAATCATGCTGTTTTCATTATGAATCGTGTACCAACTAGAATTTTAAAACACAAATCACCTTATCAGTGTATGTTTGATAGGGATCCTGATTTGGAAAATCTGAAAACTTTTGGCACCCTAGCATATGCATCTACCCTGCAGGTACATCGTACTAAACTAGATCATAGGGCTAGGAAGTGTGTTTTCTTAGGTTACAAGCAAAATGTAAAAGGTGTCATGCTGCTTGACATTAACACACGTGAAACTTTTATATCTAGACATGTGACACATCATGATCACATCTTTCCACTTAAACCAAATTGGCAGTATCATACTCATGAAAATGTCAGTCTTGAGCCATCCACTGATATTTCATCTTTTGAGAACACCATTTCAGCACATGATGATTGTATCACAAACATTCCTGATGTAACTCCCTCACAATCAGATGAGCCTTCATCAGATGATACATTTGTTGATACATCAGTTGATACACCAGCTGATACATTAACCACCCTTGATATTCATAATGATGTTAGTGTCTCACCACCATCTATCAGACCCAATAGAGTCAAACACACACCTTCTCACCTCAAGGATTATGTGTGCAATTCATCAAATACTTTGGCTGCATCATTCACTTCAGGTATATCTTATCCTATTTCTTCTTTTCATTCTTTTGATTATCTGTCTTCAAATCACAAGTCTTTTAGTCTTTCTATTACTCATGATACTGAGCCTAAAAATTATGAGGAGGCTTGTAAGAATGAAAATTGGAAACTAGCTATGCAAACTGAGTTAGATGCTCTTGCACACAATGGCACTTGGGTCATGGTAGAACTTCCACCTCATGTTAAACCTATAGGAAGCAGATGGGTTTACAAAGTAAAACATAGAGCAGATGGATCTGTTGAAAGATATAAAGCAAGATTGGTTGCTAAAGGCTATAATCAAGTGGAAGGGTTAGATTTCTTTGACACTTTTTCACCTGTTGCAAAGCTATCCACAGTGAGAGTACTCTTGGCCATTGCTTCTATTAATCATTGGCATTTACATCAGCTTGATGTGAACAATGCTTTCTTACATGGTGATCTAAATGAGGATGTGTATATGACTGTCCCACAAGGAATTACATGTTCCAAACCTAACCAAGTTTGCAAATTGCAGAAGAGCTTGTATGGTTTGAGGCAGGCAAGTCGGCAGTGGTATGAGAAACTTACTTCTTTGTTATTGCAACTTGGGTACACTCAATCCACTGCAGATTATTCCATGTTCACCTTTACACACAAAAATGATTTCACAGTTTTGCTGGTCTATGTGGATGATATTATACTGGCAGGCACATCTCTCATAGAGTTTGATCGAATCAAGAACATTCTTGATGGTAAATTCAAAATCAAAGACCTAGGAACTTTGAAATATTTCCTTGGTTTAGAAGTTGCTCAGTCCAAGGAGGGAATCACTATATCTCAGAGGAAGTATTGTTTGGATTTACTCAAAGATTCAGGTCTCTTAGCATCAAAACCTGCCACCACTCCTCTTGACCCATCATTAAAACTGCACCATGATGACAGTGAACCTCTTGAAGACATCACTGCATACAGACGACTGATAGGTAGACTAATATATCTAAACAATACCAGACCTGATATTACTTTGGCTACACAACAGTTAAGTCAGTTCCTTCATAAACCCACTCAGATTCATCATCAAGCTGCCTGCAGAATTGTAAGATACTTGAAAATGAGCCTTGGCCATGGTTTGTTCTTCCCAAGATCATCTAACTTACAAGTGTTAGGCTACACAGATGCAGATTGGGCTGGTTGCATAGACACTAGAAGATCGACCACTGGTTATTGTTTCTTTTTAGGTTCCTCTCTTATATCTTGGAAAGCTAAGAAGCAACAAACAATTTCCAGAAGTTCCTCAGAAGCAGAGTATAGAGCACTTGGGACTGCAACATGTGAGCTGGTTTGGTTGATGTATGTTCTAAGAGATTTGCAAGTAACATGTGTCAAGCCACCTGTGTTGTATTGTGACAATCAAAGCACAATTCATATTGCATCCAATCCTGTTTTCCATGAGAGAACAAAACACATAGAGATTGATTGTCACTTGGTGAGAGAGAAGATTCAGCAAGGCATGATGAGACTCCTTCCCATTTCCTCGAAGGAGCAGCTGGCAGATTTCCTTACAAAGCCCTTACAACCATCCAAGTTTCAGTCATTCATATCCAAGCTTGGCATGATAAATATATATCATGCTTAAGCTTGAGGGAGGCTGTGAAATTATACATTTGTCCTTGATTTTCTGTTATTCTGTTAAGATGAGTTAGCTGCATTATTGTGTATATATAGAACTGATTGTATACTTTTTCTTCCCAAGCTGAATAATACAGTATAGCTTCATCTCTTCTTGTTTCTCTTTCTTTTTCTTTCTCCTCTAATGGAGATTTATAGTTTCTAACAACAAAATAAGTTTTTTGTATTTTGTCTTGTAACTTTTAATTTCGTATTAAAAGAAACAAATAATTGAGGTTTTACAATATTCTTATTATTTTATCATCTCAAGGTATGAAAAAACACCAATTTCGTATACACCAATTTCGTATACATGTTGCAATTCATTATTTACTTTGAATATCATAAAATTTTAATGCTACAAAATAAACATTATCTCACTCAGACAAGCCTTGTAATGTGTTCTTGTCAGTATGTGCACTTCAAGGCTAACAATAACTAATCATGATTATAATCATATTCTTCGAAGTTAGTATACAATGGCGAGCCATCCTCTGCTAGATGAAGTAGGGAAAAACATTCATCACAAAAATGACAAGGGTTTTCGGGTGCCCATTTGTCATCCACTGTAACCTTAGTAGCTCTGAATATTTTGCAAACTCTACATTTTTTAAAAAGCATCTTCAGTTGAAAAGTGACTGTTGGATAAACAGCTTGATTATGTACATCATCCGCATGAATCAACCTCATATCTCGTATTACTAAGGCATGGGTACAGTCACCCTGCACGTAGATACAGAATGCGCCTCGTTAAATATCTAATTTCTAAAAAACAGTTATCAAATAACAATGTAAAGGCAGCAACGGTAAAACAATAAACCCAGGACAAATAAAATAAAGTACCTGATGACAATAAAGGTATCCAGCACCAAGTCGAAAGCTTAAGTCACAAAATCGTGTCATGTGCATCTGAACAGATGCAAAACGAGGCACGTGTGATGCAGATGCTTCCCCGATGACTGCTTTTTGTTTTTGCTGCAATTTCCCATTTATAATACATTCCCATTTCTTTTGTGCATCCTCCTTGGAATTTCGGAGCCAATCCATTATGGGTCTGGTCAAATCAATAGCAGATGGATCCCTCAAATCAGTGTAAAATACATCCTGCAAAGAACTGGTTTTCATCAAATTCGTTGAAGAAATGATCATCTTGTCACAAGAGGAAGTATAGGTCTATACCTCAATGAGAAAATAACCAGAAGGATCATGTTGTCCAGCTTTTTGCATAATTTGGTCCGTTGAGCAGCAGATCTTGTCCCTCAATACTGTTAAGGTCTGTCCACCAAGAACTAACAACTCTTGGATCTACCCAAAAGAAAAAAGAACAGAGACCCTACATGTTAATTACGATTCTAGTTATGCAAGATTTATTTTCAAAATTAGAACATTACTTTCATCACTTTGGCATGGCATTGTATACCTTAACACTTTTTCGAACATTATGGTAAATCTCTACAGCGAGAACAACTTCTGGATTCTGCACAGGTATGTGGTCTTGAAGGCCCGCTGTGTTCACCTGGCAAACATTAAACCAGAACAAAGATAGGAATTATGAACATGAAAAGAAAGAGAAAAAAAAAGAAGAAAAAAAGAGAGGGGAAATGCATAGAACTTCAGTACTGATTTGAAAATATCAAATTATCAATAAGAATATTTAGAAAATCCTGAAATTCACATTACCAATTTTGCATAAAACCAACCTAAGTTAGTAGTCTCAGCCACATGAGATTTGCTCATGGATACAAAATTAATAAGTGTATCACCAATAGAAGGAACCCTCAAATAATTCCTGATTTGATTTCTATTTCTTTTAGTGGCTTTAGTCGGTTGTAAACTTCTTTTTGAAATAAAATTCAAATAAAAAGTTAATCTAACTGAAATAGGTATGTCAACAAGCAATTTAGAAGGCATAGATAAAAAAAGGCTGCAACTTTAATAATTGCTTGGCTTATCTAAACTTAGGATACAAACGTAAAGTGCTTTCAACAGAAGTTAGGACAGAACAACTTTAAGCAATAATCAGATAGGAATTTCTGGCAACCTTTCGGGCAGAACTTGTGGACCTGAGAGACATCATCCTTTCAGTTCCTACTGATTTGTTGGTAAGTTCATCAATCCTGCAAACGGGACTAAACCAAAGGACAAGAGGCCTGAATTAGAACTTAGTATCTCACATATAAAATGGAATAATCACATAAATATTCAAAATACTAACTCAAATGAATGAAGTCTGACTTCCGCCTTGTCTGCTTCCTGCTTCTGTTTGATTTTTACAACCTCCTCCAACTTTTCTATACGCTTACTCTGTGGACATTGATTAAATTTAAGAAACATAACCCCCCAAAAATTCCACGGATAGATATGGATATATTTGTTTGATGACACAAATTTAATTTATTGAACAACAAGCTTTAAGAATCTTTCAATAGCTGAATAAACAAATCAGAGAGCACACATTCATCACCGTCCAATGTGAAGTAGCTTCTAAAAGTTAGCATTATAATATATGACTAACTAATGCTAACAGGAAAACTTAATCAAATTATATGCGACAATAATTAAAGAAATAGTTATCGGGGAGGACATACTTGAAAAAACAAGCTTATACTCATTTGATTATATGAGCTGACAAAATTTAACATTCTAATTGGAACACATGAATAAAACTGAAACCAAATGATTTAGTTTGTGCAAGAAAGATTTTGGTCTTTTCATAAACCAAGACATGCAGTTAAACTTATATTTCAGATAGAACAATTTTCAGGTTCTCATTAATATAATAAAACTCCATGCCTCATACGTGAAAGTGACAAGAGGAAGAACATATAAGCACCAAATATTAACAGAGAAGCATACACACTTTTAGAGAGTTAACATACATCAAGAATAGGATTATTTGTTCCACTACTCTTTCTCTTGAAGCGCTTTTTCTGACACCTGCAACCAAATTCAAAAGAATTTCATTACTCAATCTTGATTATATTAATGAAGGTTATATCTTTTTAGTCAATCTATTTTAGAGAGAATAATTTTCAGATTCTCGTTAATATAATAAGCATTTACAGTAATAAACTAAGAACATAAAAGTTGACAAACTATATATAATAAGCATTTACAATTTTCAGATTCTTGACTGAAACTATATATAATTCACTAACGCGCTATAAAAGTTCACAGATAAATATAATCATTCATGAGTATAGTTCTAATTCATTCTCTATCATGTTGCTAAGAAACAAGGGAACAGTAGAATAAGCAGCAAATAAGAATAATGAGGAAAATAACAGACTCTGCATTAGGTTGATTGAACAGTGGTGGACAATTTTCATTGTTGTCATTATCCTGAAATACTTGTTTCAAAGCCCTATCCATCAAATCATCATCTGTATAGACTTTAAGGTCATCAACCCTGTGAATAAAATAGTGAGTAAAAGTTGCATAATAGTACAAAAGAACAGAGAGGAAGAGGAAGAGCAGAATACATACGAGAAATCATCATCGTGAGAAGAAGAAGAATGTTGAGGTAACTCAGCTTCAAGACTCCGAAGTTGAGATTGAAGTGAATCCTGAAAAAGAGGAACCCTGGTGACGGAGGCAACCATGTTAGGAACGTAAATTGGTCCACCTCTTGCAACTGGAATTGAACATTCCAATTCATCTTCCATTATTGATTATTGATGGATGATGATTCCGACTCAATTCTCAATCAAAATCATGGATGATGATTCCGACTCAATTGTCAATCAAAACACCTCTGATTTTTTTGACTATCGAGCGGTTTAACTGGTGCGGCGGAGATTGTGGCGGAGGAAAGTGAAGCTCCGGTGGAGGGAAAGGTCGTGGCGGAGGAAAGTGAAGCTCCGGCGGCGAGATGAGGTGTTGCGTTCTGGGATTTCTTAGACTCTATTGTTCCTCTCATTATAAAATTCAATAATTTAGATTAATTTTTAAAATATTTTTAAATAAAAAGAACATAATTCTCGCCTATTTTAGCGTGTAATTATCCAAATTAATATTTTATTTCTGTGAATGTTTTTTTTACGAGTAATCACCGAGTATAAACTTGAATGCCATGTGGCTAGATTTCACTAAAATCAATTCAAACTCGTTTCAATATGTTTTGTAACTAATGAGATATGCGGGTGTTCCCCGAATACTTGTGTAACAGACACGTTCTTGTTTTAAAATATAAATTAAAAAAATTATTTTATTAAAATAATTTTTATTTTATAATAAAAACAAAATATTAAAATTATTTTATATCAATAATATATATTTTAATTTTCTATTTATTATCTTAAAAATATGTATCTTAGATTAAAAAATTTCAAATAAAAAATATAGATAATAATAACATGTGTCCTTAGTACACATGTTAAGAAAATTATAATTAAAAATTTTATCTTCAAAAATTAATAAAAAAATTATATTTGTAATAAATATAATACACAATTTCTAAGATACAAATTTCTTTATTCAGGTGTTAATATACGTTCTAAACACACATGTTAACATTACCTTAAAAATATTAATAATATAAATAATTAAAAAATAATATATTTTTCTCGTGTTTGAATTCATATATTATTTTTAATATATTTACTTTTATTTTTTAATTGTATAAAAGAAATGTAATAACTTGTGAGTTCGCACAAATTCTGATATGTATACTTAGACGTTCGTATGTGTATTATTATTGTTCTGGACTGGGTCCGCGGTCGACTCACTGTTGAGCACGACCCAACTCATCCCTATGTCGAAGATGGCCCAATGATGACTCAATCTATTGAGGCCCAAGCTAAGGACATGTTTTTCACATGCCCTTCCTCTGAGGACACGTTACCATCCAACCACCCACACTCCTTAGGGGACATAAACGTCTTGCTCTACATGACGGGCAGGTCCGCCCATAACCCGAGAATAGCATGACAGTTGACCCGGGTCGATGAGTACATGCTGCTCATCTCTACTGCCACGTAGAAACCCTGACAGTCATCCATTATGGGCCTGGATCTTCAAGCCCATAATGGAGACCATTGGCCATGCAGTGGGGCCTATAAATACCCTCCCATACAGGAGGGTCAAGGAGATTCATTCTCAACTCTAACTCACTCTTACCTCTCACTCTTTCTAACTTCAGCATCGAAGTGCCTTGTAGGTACACCCCCCCCCCCCTTTCCGTGGAACGCTTGCACCAACAGACTATTAGACCGACCACTCCTCTTTCTGATCACCGATAAGATAAGTGGCGTCATATGTGGGAACCATTGTTTCCCCATCCTCTTTTCATTAAAACAGAAGATCAAAACAAACCGTCAAAACCCGATCATGGCTGATCCCAATGACAAAAACGGCAGTCTCGACATCGTCGTCCTCTTCCCTGAACCTGGGAACATACAATGGGTCGACAGATCCAGACAAGCATCTCGAGAGCATGGATGCCCTGCTCGAGTATCGAGGCGTCTGAGGCGCCATCAGGTGTAGACTATTTCCCATCACTCTGAGGAAAGGTGCCACGACATGGTACAAGAGTCTCGCTATATAATCCATCACATCCTGGAAACACTTAAGAAGACAGTTCTCTAGACACTTCAAAGCGTCTTGTTGCCACCCAAAATACGAGGCGACACTCGAAGCCATCATACAAGGAAAGGACAAACCTCTTTGAGCCTACATCGAGAGGTTCACCAAAGAAGTTGTTCAGATCCCGATTGTCACGCCGCAGGAAAAACATAGAGTCGCCACCAAACTCTATTTATCCTTAAGGAAGGGAAGATATCGAGAGAACCCCAAAGGAATATATAAGATGGTCTTGCGAGCAAGAGAAAGGGTACGAAAGTCGGTTATGCAAAGGAAAGATATTAGCACCACACGCGTATGTGGTACTCCACAGGATCCACTTAAGTTTGTTCTAATCTAATGGTGTGTAAGAATCTATGTCTAAAGCTTAATGCTAAAAGGTAATGCATGCGAAAGAAAATACGGGGAAAAGAAGGAATATTTACAAAGTTTTGCTCGCCTAGGCCCCGCAACCTAATGCCTACGTACTCCCTCTTGCAATAGGAAAGTCAGAGCGTCATAGTTCGACTCACATGTTTTAGTTTGTTGTATGTTTTTTAACTTGAAAAAGGGTTTTAAAAGTAAAGCCAAGTGGCAAAATAAAGTTTAGATTGGTTGATGTTTTTTACTTTAAAAAAGGGGTTTTGTATTATTAGAGTGTTTTATGAAGTTTAAAAGAAAAAAGAAGAAGTTTTAATGCATATGCAAAAGAAAAAGAAAAAGTCTAAGGGAGACTAGCAAAGTAAGCCTAGAGTTGTCATGCAAAGTTGATTTTATAGTCGAGGATAAAGAGGAAATCTACCTATGTTAGCATGCATGGTTTGCAACCTAAGGTCTATCTCAATTTTCTTCCTAAGATCGAGAGAAATCATATGAGGAGCATGACAAAGATGCAATGGAAAGTAAACACGCAAAGCTTGAGGAGTATCCACTCACTCAAGTAGCATACACCTAACCGAGGCATCATGTTGCCAAGAAAGGAAAGGGAGAGAGATCACGCATAACCACGATGTCGTATCATTGAGGTAGGACAAAGGAGAAGGGGCACCTAACCATGATATCGAGTCATCAAGGTAGGATAAAGGGAGGCTTAACAAATATATCAAATAATCGAGGCAAGCAAGAATGGGAGAATAAGTGGTTCTTAACCATAATAGCATGTCATTGTGGCAAGAAGAATAAGAGGTGTCAACTCTTAACCAATATATCACGTTATCTAGGCAAGAGAATAATGGGAGTAAATCGTCATAAGCGACTAAACACCTAACCAAGATATCACGTTATCAAGGTAGGAGATAGAAGACAATAATAAGATCATATTGGAGCGTCAACGTGCACGGCACGCGAGTTAATGACAAAGCGTGGGGGTTGATTGTGAACCCTTCTCCTCTTGACCGACCTGATATAAGATCAGTATGATTTGTAGCATCGACGTACAACACAAGCTACGAATTACCTATGGACTAAAAAATTTGGGGGTCGATTGCGAACCCTTTTCCACTTGCCTTCTTTGAGGAGTTATCAATGGGGAATGGGAATGTGACGCCTTCATAGAGGTCTTTGGCACAAATGTAAATACACATAATGGTAAACAAACACAAGTAGGAATTGCCTTAAACAAGGTCTTTAAATAAACCAGATTTTCCTCAAAGGGACTCCCATAACATGCATCTCTAGTCCTACTTCTCATGACAAGGAAAGCGGTAAAGCATGCATCTCTATCCCTACTTCTCATGGCATCAGAAGAGAGGTAAAGAATGCATGAGATAAAAGAAACGGAAGGAAATAACAATCGAACGCAAGTTTGTCAATTATCAGACGAAAACAAAGAAACCTGAAAACTTCGTGCATGCTTCACCAAGCAATAGAGAAACAGTCAGAATCAGATGCAATAATAGTAAGCAATACCGCAAGTGTGAAAATAAATCGCATGCGGAAAGTTCGTCGCATCGAATCAAAGTCCCTGCACGAGATAATGCTATACAAGCAAAGCAATAATCCAAGTGTCACGTATCGCACAACCAAAGCTTTCGGAAATTTGCACAAGTCACAAAATTGGTTAGAAAATAAAAATACAATATTAAGTATCAAATTGCAACTCAAAAATAACAATGAAATACAAAGGAGCAAAGTACAAATGAGCAACGGAATATGGAAATCAAAATCGGACAGCACTACGTATACAACATGAAAATGTCCAAAAAATAGACCGAAAACGGTAGGACGGCGACAATGATTTATAAACACCAAAACATGATCAACCAAGCCTTAAACAATATTTGAAACGTGTATTTACACCTGTGTATTAAATTCGGGCAGCAACTCATGTAAACTTGAAATGGATCGGTAAAATGCACCGGAAGCGAGAAAACTCATTATTAACGGTTATGGAATGATTAATTATGTACAAATGAACATCAAATGTCAATCAAAATGGCATGTACATGTGAAATTAAAAACATAACAACACTATATACACGTATGAATTCAAACGGAACCTTGTATCGGAAACAAGAAAATTCAATAGCAATCTCATGAAATGGTCATTTATGTACAAGCAAATGTCAAATGAAAAATTAAAGTGGCATATGGACATGAAACTAAATTCCGGACAACAACTTTTATTCACAAAAATGCATAATAAAATAGTTATGAAATCAACCGAAACGGTACCGGTACTCATCAATTACAAAGGCAAGCTTCCATGAATGTTTAACAACAATTAAAAGGCATGTTTCGCATTATTTCCCAACATCGGACCTTCTTCCTTAGCCTTCCTCTTCCCCGAGTCATTTTCGAAAGTGATAGAGATCTGGAAATCGGTGTAGTGGTTTCTCATGATATCGGTAATTGCTAATAGCAGTATATATGAATGTTATTGTTTTCAGTAGTAGTAAATTAAATTTAGTTGCTAGAAGCTAGTTTTATGTGGAAGAATGGCACATCCATTAGTTGTATAATAAATTAGTAATTTTAGGGAGAACAATTATCAGTGGACTATATATATTTTAAATGGCTGAATTAGTAATTTATTAGTGATGAAAATAATTTAGCAGTGGGATTAATTTAATTAAGTTGGAAAATAATTGGAAACGATTCGATTAAT